TGACATTTTTATCAGAATTTTTAATTGTCGGGATTCTTATAAAGTATATAAAGCACACACAGCATTATTCATAATTATTAGCAGTTACAAAAACAATGACACAAAACCAATCACATCAAATGATGAAATAGATATTGAACATCAAGCAACGAAAGATGTCGATGATCAGATTGTTAAAGACAATTGCTTGCCATCGTCTAACGGTACTTTATTACATGGAATTGAATTATATTTAGTTGTTTTTAGGTTCGTAGAGATTAATTTCCTGTTGTACTAATTATATGATCAAATTATTAATTTAGTTTTATTTACCATATTATAGTCTAGGATGTTCTATATTTTTATCCACCTTAGATGCAACAATTGTTTACACTGCTTTACCTAAAATAGTTTCAGATTTTAATGGATTAGATCAAATTGCATGGGTTTCAACTTCTTATCTACTCACAGCGGTAATAATATTATTAATTGATTCCACTTCGTTCGAATTATATATCATGTGACACTCACGTGAATAATGTTGTCGACACAGACTTCCTTTCAACCAATCTATGGAAAATTATCTGATATTTTTGGTCGCAAAGCAACATTCTTAGTTGCAATTATCATCTTTGAAATAGGTAGTTCGTTGTGTGGTGCTGCTACAAATATGGTAATATAACTTAACCTTTATTTTTCATTTTCTCAATTCTTAATTTAAATATTCATCACTTTTTTTTTTTTTTTTAGGTTTCATTGATAATTTTCCGTGCAATCGTTGGTATCGGAGGTGATGTTATAACTGGGTACGTATTTCATTGCTGTATCATTTATATGCATGCTAAATTTTTGATTTTTAATTTCTCTTTTTTAGTCTCGTCTTAATTATAATTACAGATATTGTCAGCCCTAAAGATCGAGGAAAATACCAGGGCACTATTAGTGCATGCTATGGTGTTGCTTCCGTTGTAGGCCCTCTCTTGGGTGGTGCTATTACTGATCATATCAGTTGGAGGTACGCATGTCAAGGGGTGTTACCTTATTTGGAGCAAAAAATTTTAATAATGTTATTATCGTTTTATATTTTGTCAATCGTAAAACACACCACCAAATTTATTTTCCCAAAAAAATAGATGGTGTTTTTTCATTAATCCTCCTTTAGGTGTAATAACGATAATCGTTGTGGTTAGGTTTCTTCATTTACCAAAACCACCCGGTTCGTTACTTGATAAAATTAAAAGAGTTGATATTATTGGTACCATTTTAATAATCTCATCAACTGTTTGTATCTTATTACCGCTTAATTGGGGTGGCAGTGCTTATCCTTGGAATAGTCCCGTGATTATAATACTTTTATGTGTCGGCGCAACCGGTTACATAATATTCGGTCTTGTTGAGCATTATATCGTTACTGAACCCGTAGCTCCATGTAAGTATTCATGACTTGATTTATTTGAAAGAATTATATTAATTAATCTATTATAATATTTGTTGCTAAGAATTGTTTTCTCTGTTTAATAGCACGTTTATTTACAAATCTTAATATAGTCTCATGTTTTCTCACATGCTTTTTCCAAGGAATGGTATACTTTAGTTATGTTTTTTATATGCCACTCTACTTCCAAGTTATAAAGGGTGATTCAGGCAAGTATTTCTATCAACTTAATTTCATATTCCTCGTTAAACATTAAATAAATTTATCAACTTATATGTTTCTTTTAAACAGCTACACAATCCGGATTAGAGTTCATACCTTACCTTCTTGGTGTGGTAGCTTTCTTATTCCTGACCGGTCAACTATTCTCTCGAACAGACAAAATACAGTTTCGATTAGTGACTTTAATTGCTTCGGCATTGACAATAATTGGTGCCGGATTAACCATTATATGGAGAGAAGATACTGGATATGGTGAATATATAGGATACATGTTAATTGGCGGTATTGGAATGGGTGTAGGTCTTCAAGTTATTACATTATGCGTCCAAAGATTGGTTGAGCCGAAGGATATAGCTTCGGTTACTACATTATCATTTTTCTTTAGGAACAGTAAGTATTCAAAAAAAAGTTTAGTTTTTTTTAGCAAAATTATTAAATTATTTTACTAATTCACTATCTATATTTTTCTCTTAGTTGGGGGTGTTTTTGGGATCGCAATGTCAGGAACAGCATTTAATAATAGACTTTCTCAAGAATTAAGTACTTTAACTTTACCTCCATCTTTTTCAACACAATCTGTATATTCTATACAATCATTACCACCAGATACACGGCTATTGGTCATTCACGCTTATGTGTTAGCATTTCAATTCAC